TGAGGTGATGGGTAGGTAGCTCCTAGACCTACATCAATGTTTCAAGAAAGGTACTACTATGTGGTTGGTTACCTGACTTTACGCAGAGTACCAGGCAGGGGGGGAGAGCAATAGAGAACTAGAGGAATGTTGTGTGCTTTGTCGGTGTTATACGGCACCCTGGCTGGCTCATCCCTTCCTTGTGACCCTTCTGTAAGGGGATGTTCAGTTATCTACAGATGGGCTTTGTGTTTGTGTCTCGACTCCGAACTCCTATGTTCGCATCCAATCAATTCTTTGTTTTGGGTCTTCTGATAAAATATTTTTCTTGATAAACATGAGCGAACATTAACAAACCAGGGTTAAGAGCATACATTTCAGTGTCTAACCAATCTAGGTTTAAATTATGGCTTTGCCACTTAACAAACTATAAGAGATCACAGACAACACCTACACCACAGGTAATTCTAATGACTACTTGGTATAGTACCTGGAACATTTTAAGAATTATTATAATAAAACAAATCTCATTTTGTACTGTGCCCAAAGACCATTCATTGTACAATTAACCCTTCGAACAATGTTCATCTTTCTTGAGGAGCTAATTCTAATAATTCAGACAAAGATGGTATCCAGGGCATTTCATCCAGAGAACTGGATAAATTACAACTACCATTCAACTCGAGTGAGGAATTTTTATACTTTCAAGTAGGATAAGTTGGAAGGCAGGCAAACACATAGACAAGCAAGCAAGCAAGCAAACCAACCAACACTAAGCTACTGAACAATAGCCTACCCTATTAAACATTCCTGCAGGTTGTAAAACATGTCTCGTCTGGCAGTTCAGGCAGGCAGCACACTTACCCATGCTAAGAGACTCTTTCTGAAACTCCTTAGTTAGGTGGGAGCGGTTGGTTATGCAATACACATAGCGCTCCAACACGTACCAGCACATCTCATAGTAGAAGGGATAGCGGAACTTGTTTGGTACCTATACAGGAATACATCATGAAAAATGTAAGCTGATAGCAATTTTCAGGGCAAAACAGTAAAATATATTGAAGCACTATACTAATTAACTCAGGTAAAACTCTGTTCAGTCAACCTGGAGTGTTGGAACACAATCTCTCTAGGTAATCGGTACTTGGAAAGACCAGTGAGAGCCACCAGCAAATTGTTTTGACTGAATGGAAAATGGTAAAACAAAACAAAACAAAACTTGTTTTTTGGGTGGTGGGGTGGGGGTTGGATGGCGTAAAATGTTGGTGTCAGATATGTTCTACCTAGCTGAGAAGGTGGTTTGAGAGTTCTTAGGACACGGAGGTGTGACAGGCACTCTTGCCTCTACTATTCAGTTTCTCCTGCATCAGAAGGCAGTGGAACAGAGAAGCCAAGGGAAAAACAGGGCATGGGTTGCAGCTACATGTTTTTACAATGTCCTCGCATAGATGGAAATACAATCAGAGACTCTGTCATCCTGGGTCCAGGTCAGGACACAGCACTAATGCCCCAACTATCGGCACTCAGCTCTGCAGCCTAGGACTTGGTCATTTGCCAATTTGATATGTTCACAAATCAAACTAGGGTTCGTGTGAGCAGGCCAGACACTACCTTTCGTTTTCTTGTCCTTTTCTCCCAAAGTAGCTTGAGATCACTGCAGCAGAAAGAGCATGAGAGTGCCCTTTAGGTCTGTCCCGGCCACCACTGCCAAGCCAGGTGAGCCTGGGCTGGTCAGTGAGGAAGGCCAATGATGGGACCATCCTAGAGATACTTTGCTGGCTTCTGTTGGAGGCCGTTCTTGGAAAGAATAAGTCACCCAACTCCCTGCAGATCAGTGTGAATGCGTCATCCACGAGCAAGCACTCCTGTCATGAAGAGAGAGGACTTCACCTAGCCCTTTCAAAGACCCCTGTCAGGGACTCTTCCTAAACCAAGAAGATCTGCACATGGAGTGAGGAGATGGCCTTCCTCATCACAAGGCAGCAGAGGGAGAGGTTTCACATCACCTGCCCCACTGGCTTTCTGGTGCAGACTCTGGGCCTGTTTACACGGGAACTAGACTTTTCCTCCCTTACTTCAAACATCAAATGCCTTTATTTCTTTGGGGCAAAGTTAATAGGTACATGATTCTGAAAAATAAAACACAACAAAATATACTCTGCCTCTCCATTAGCCTCTGAAGTATTCAAGCATTTTCCTTGAAGGGCCTCTAGTAGGAGTTCAGAACAACTCCCAGCCTCACAGCCTTTGTGAACACTACGGAGAGCTTCGTTGACAGTGGGCGGGGGCGGAGAAAAAGGAAATAAAACATAAAATAAGGGCTTTAAACATGTCGGTTTTTTCACTCAGCCCACTTTCTCAACAATAGCCAAGGCACTGTAATGTATACCTGACCTACCTGAATTACAGTTTCCCTGGACTGCCAACCACCAGAGTATAATTTCTAAGATGGGGTTAAAGTTAGAGGTGTTTTTTTTCAATCTTCATTATAAAAATTGAGATGCTCAGCATTACCAGTAGAGTAATACACTTCTACAAATTATATATAATGTCTTGAATCTACAATATGCCTCATTACTACTTCTGTAGAACATTCTTAGACTATATTCTTTCTACTTAAACACTGTCAGTTGACATAAACTTATAAGGGTTGGTTTGGGCATGTTATAAAGGTTTGGTGTGGAAAGAAAAATCAAAATTCTGGGTTTGTATGTGTATGATATTTTACAGAAAACCGAAAGGCTTCCTTGTTTGGAATGAAATAATTAAGAATAGTATGGTGGTCAGATAGGGACAAAGGATGTACAAAGGAATTTGAAACGTCAGGACAGGTTCTCACCAGTTTAGCTGACTGCATGGAATGCCATGCAGAGGCAAGGTGCTCACTGTACCCGGGCTACTGACCATCTGAGGGGCTTCAACTCATGCATGGAAAAATGGGATGGAAAAATAATGGAATGTACCCCAAAACCTTGATGAAGCCCTCGCCTAGCCTCCCTTTCTTGCTTGAATGCATTCGCAGGAAGACATAGCAGGTACTTGGTCCCTGAAACTGAACAACCAATTAAGCCCCAGGTATAACAATTATCTTCAGCCATGAAAAGGGAATGCTTTCTAAAAACTAATTTCCGGACTGCATCCAACAGCAGGTGGGTGGCATTACTTCTTAAAATGATACCGGATAAAACAAGAAAATTAGATATTCTTTTGAAACATTTAAACTACTTTTTACAGATATTCCTTTATTACAACGTTGAACTAATTAAACTACTTAACTTTTGTAGTTGAACTTTTCTTAACAAGCAGAAATTCACTTTTGTAAAATTTACCTAGAAGCACTTTCTTTGAATTATACTAAAAGGCCAACAACAATGCCAAGTGTGTGCATGAGGTGATGGGTAGGTAGCTCCTAGACCTACATCAATGTTTCAAGAAAGGTACTACTATGTGGTTGGTTACCTGACTTTACGCAGAGTACCAGGGTCAGTGACCACTACTGAATGCTGTGCCCTAAGAACAACAGTACAACTAAACCATGAACACTTGTGGACCCTCCTTTGCCTAGATTCTGTTAGCATTTCTCCACATTTGCTAATGTCTGTTCATAATGCATTAGTGTTATTTTTGGTGCTAAACAATTTTGTGAACTAAGTCCAGACAGCATGCTAGTCGCTATTTTAGTGTCAATACTTCTTCTGCTTTCATCATCATATTACTATTGAGCTTTGGCCAACCAGGATTCTGATCGGGAATTAAACCTGACTTCCCAAGGCCCAACTCGGCAACAGTTAGTGGATTTGGTCTACTGCCTGTTTTGCAAAGGCCTCTGCCCTAAGGATAGTTTTTGCCATTTTTAAGGGGTTAAAAAAATTATAATAATAGCTTGTAACACTTGAAACTCAAACTTGTATCCATAAACAAACTGTGCTGGAACCTAGTCATGCCCGTTCACTAAAGTGCCCCATACCGACCAGAATTAAGTAGGGTCAGGTATTGTGAGGCCACAGTATAACACATTGACTCTCTGGCCCTTGACAGAAACAGTTGGCCAGATTCTGCCTGAGGCCTCCACTGTCCCTAACATCACCTTCTCTACCTGCCTACAAAGGTTGATGCTATGTAATAGCTGCAGGGAAATTGAGGAAATAAGAAAAAGACACAAGAGTAATTTTGTATAGACCTTACTGTTCTCATGGAACCCATTGAGAAAGGCACATGTGCACTTAGACATACAAGACAGTTTAAGTGCTCTATAGTAATCAGAATAAAGATAAGATAGGTGAATTTAAAGTTGTAAATCTTGAATTGATAAAAGCCCACTATACCAAATTATTCTAGGATCATAAAAATGAAAAGACATGGCTCAAGAGATTACCAAGAACCTAAAAAACTTGAGTGACTAAAAATCAAACATATAGCTCCTTTTAAATTTATATTTTTTCCTGCGTTCCCAATATGTGAAACTTCAATTCAGAGAAAGGTGGGTTTTAACAAATTATCCACGACTGCTTAACATCTTGTGTCTTGAGTGGCAAACATCTTCACACCCAATTGTTACATACAATTACTTACCCGAGTCCGATCTTCAATGTTGTATATTTTTAACTGCATGGGGATATTGAAGCTATGCAGAAAATTGCCTCCAAAAACTAAGGTATCTGTAGGAGTATACACAGCATGGATCCACCCTAGAAGAAAGGGACCGTAAAGCAGTGGTTGGAAGCAATGATCATAAGGCAGCTCACAGAGCCAGAGTCAGACTCCTGGACCACACCCTCTTTTAGGGGTCAATCAAGTTACCAAATCTCTTAAACCCCAATTCACTCTATAAAATCAAGTTAAGTTACACCTCACCCGATTACTGGTGACTATTAAGTGAGAAATGGAATGCAAAGTGCTTTTATCATATAGTAAGCTTTTAACAGAGCTGTTGCCATGATCTGGAGTGCCTACCAGGCTCTGCACAGATTACACACATTCTCATTTCCCCTCATGACAAGATGAGACGAAGAAATTTAAATGTTTGCCCCAGATGGTTTTACAGCAGTAAGCAGACAGACTTCCAGCACCGGTGCTCTTTAGGGTGCTTAGCTTTTAGCCAGTGACTTGATTGATCACAGTTCCTACTGATTCTGCCGGGCAGCCTTAGAAGACTTGGCTCGGCAGCTGGGGATCACCTGCAAAACAGGTCCTGTGGCCTCGAGATTCTAAATGACTAGGACTACTGTAGAGCCCAAACGAGGTGTGAAAAGTCTCCACTGGAAATTCTGATGTAAACCTTCAGTGGAGAATCACTGCTTAGGGTTGTTTTTTTAAGTAAGTTCTCAGTCACTACTCCACAAAGAAAGGAGAAGACACCATCTAAGAAGTGACAATGGCTGGAGTGGACAACTACTTCCCGGCTCCTGCTTACCTGAGGGAATGACGAAGGTATAGCCCTGCTTGAGCTCAATGCGCTGGCAATCTGATACCCGGTCACCCAGAAAGATGTCTCCCTGTTTCCCTGACAGCAGCCAATTCTCGTACAGCTCCAGGTTGTGGGCTGTAGGGGGGATGAGCCAGAAGACCTGTGAGTTAAGAAACTTCAGTCTGTTAACAGCCATTGACATGACCCAGTCGTCTCCCTTAACCGATATACAGGCACTAAAATATACAGGCACCAGGGAGAAGAGAGGGCCCTGGGGTTAGACTGAGAACCCAGGACCCCCCCACCCCAGATTCCAGGAGGAGGGTCACCTTGTCTTGTTATCTACGCAGTCCTTCACACAGCCTTTACAGGCCTACCGAAAGGCACAGGTAGTCTGGTATAATACCTGCCAGACACTGTCCTGGCTTGCTTTGTTCCAAGATCATTGTCGCCAAGACCAATAGGACAAGACTTGAAGAAGTTTTGAATGACTTCCCTCATCCTAAATGTATTATATATTTTCATTGCATTTCTACTCTCACGTAAGGTCCACTGCTCACAAATGTATCACTTTTCACAAGGGGAAGAAGGGTAGGTAACGCAGCATTGTGCTGCAGACCCGATATTAACTCTAGGTTTCAGCGCAGCACTCAGAAAACACTCTGACATTCATTACGGCTGGTGATCTGTCAGAGGGGATGAAAGGCTCCTTTGGCTGTGTTTTGACCAATGCCTCCATAGAGGCTAAACTGGCACAGAGCCTCAATCCCTGACTAACATGAGAGTTCACTTTACCACTTTAGTTTATTGCCAGGTAGAAAAGTGATCTTGTCTTCCTAAAGTAATACCTGGGGTTCCTGAGGAGAACCCTGTTTGGGGGACCTAGAAATGGGACTATTGAGGTTTACTAAGTGCTGTGCCAAGGCTAGAGTCTAGGTGGTAGACTAGATGAATTCTAATGCCTTTTGCTCTCTTGCCAAGAAGCACAGCTGAGCCTACAATTCCCTGCAGATACGGGTTGGGACAATTTCCTAATAGATTCGTGTCAAGGGTATATTCAGCATGCAAAATCCAAAGCCAAGTCACATAACCAGCTTCAGAGTGCAGCCCCATCACAAGTTGGACCGTACCTTGCCCCCTTGATGGATGTGGTACCAAACAGAGGTACCACCAAAGTCCACATGGAAGTCAGTATAGCAGCCTCGGACACTCATTAGACAGTACCTGGCCCAAAAAGAGCAGCAGCGTTAGTGCATTGGTGAGCAAAGAGGCCCCTTCCTGCCACATGCCACACTACCGCCCTCCCCCCACCCCCACCCCAGCGACCCTGGGTGAACTCCCAGTGTGTGAGGAAGGGAATTTGGAGCCACCAGGGTGCCAGGATGCATTCTGGTGATCGGAGGCTGTGGCCCTCTGACACACACTCCTGCCTTTGGACGAGGAAAGCCTGTTCTTGAAGTAAGTCATCTTTTTGATTATCTAGCACCAGGAACAAGGTTCCGGAGCTCTCCCATCGCACCCTGAGGAGATGCAGGGAAGCCACTTACTTCTGCACCTTTGGGTACTGCATCTCCAGAATGGCATTGGTTGATTCTGTCTGACTTTCCTTCAAATGCCGTGGCCACATGTTGTCCACCCAGTCAATGAAATCCACCTTTAGGAAGCAGGAGAAACATTTAGGCTTCAAAGGCAGGGTCAGGGTTAAAGATAACTTTAAAGTCAGAAAAACAGCGTTTCTTAAAAGATATATTGAAAGACTACCATTATAAGTGAATTAGAACAATCTATTGGTGAAAACTAGGGTCAATAGGCAAAGACTCTGGAAATAACTATTCAATGAGGATAAAGACTTGTGGTCCCATCAACGTGACTGAAAAAACAGTACTAATAAACATGGATTGATTACTAATACAGCTATGTCCACTACTACTCTTGCAGGCCAACTCTGGTATAAATTTCCTGTTGTTCTTCTATCCAATCAAAGGTGCTATCTAAAAGGTACTTGTAAATGTACCATAAGACTGTTAAGGTCTGGTGTGGGGAGAGGAATGAAGTCCAGCACGAATCTGTAGCCTTGCATGGTCGTGGGCTATAGTTACTAGGAGGCTGAAAATCAGAACCCCCAGGCCTACCATGCTTCCTCAAGACCATTCAAGTCACAGAAACTCATCTGTAAAATGAGGATAACTGCCATGAAGGGATGTTGTGAGAATTGAATATAAGCACACAAAAATGTTTTGAAATAATGTTATCAGAGCTTGGGAACTTTATATATAGTGTTTGATGAAAGGAGAAAGGAAAACCATTAACAACTTAACTCAATAATTTCCACTGGCCTTTAACATGTTCTGTACCTTCAAATATCACGGCTCAATCACTGAACAAAACAGTCCCTGGTGCTGTAACTGGATGCGCCAAACACCCACGAATCTAGCACAGGGCTGTTGTCACAAATATCTAACTAATGGGCTAAAACGTATGCATCTGGTGAGCATTGTATAAGCAATCTCTGTATTTGAACACTGATTTCCCTTGCAATGTGTACCCGACAAAGCAAAGAACTGAGGTCGCAGGAGTTCCCATGGCTGGGATCACCAGGGACTTGGAGAAACAAGGAAGGGGAGGAATAACTGGTAAAGGCTAACTTGCTGCAACGGAGCCAGGAGTTCTAAGGCAGGGCCTAGCCCACTGACCCACTGGTAGGTACCTGCATGAAGAGAAGAAGGCTTGGAGTACCAGAGTATTTTTTACCAAGTGTTCATTTAGGGAAAGCAGACTTTGTGGCTGGATCACCTTTAGCAGCAAGTCAGTCCCTCTGGCCTCCCTTTAGTTGGCATCACAGGGTATCACCCAACTATACAATGAACGTTGTAAGAATGTGGTCACACCTTTCTTCTTAGGTTAAATCCTTAGCCTCTGAATAGGCCTTTGGCTAACGGGTCTGATCCATAGGAGAGCCGGTCTCCTCTAAGAACCATCGCTAGTCTCTCCCTGTTTAGCACCAATTACCACACCTAAAACCAACCCAAACTCATGCCTTCGAGTCCACACCAACTCATACCATAGCAACCCTAGAGGACAGGGTAGAACTGCCTCTGTAGGTTCCCAAGACTGTAACTCTGTATGAGATTACAAAGTCCCATCTTTCTCCCATACCAAATCTAAACTAGACTTAATATACCGAATCAAGACCACTGGTAGTGCAATGGCTTAGTTAAGCCCTCAGCTGCTAATCCAAGGTCAGCAGAGCAGTTCAAACCCATCAGCCACACCATGGGAGAGAAGATAGGCAATCTGCTTGTGTGAAGAGTTCAGCCTCAGAAACTACTCTGTCACTACATGGCCACATGGACTCAATGGTGCCCAGGCACAATAAGAATATGCCCATATACTGTGCAAAAGTGTCCTGTGCCCATGAATGAATCTCCCTCACTAGACAAATCTGCAGATTGTAGTACCTGTTGCCATTTCCACTGTCCCTCACCTCTTGGAACGGCTGGGGTGACCACGGCACACATGCCCACTCCTCACCAGGAAATTCCACTTTTGGCTAACACCACAATGGCTCAAACAATGCCAACCTTAACTGTCCCACTATTCCTTCTGCCTTGAGTTCTAGTCTCTACCCTCTTTGCCTCATTGTTTCCTCTGTTAGATATAGGTAGGTACTACTTCTTCCCTCCCCACTCCTTCCAGTTTAGTCTGGGTGGCTCCTTCCTATGGGCTGCCACAACACTGCATAGGCACTCACTTTTGAAGCACCTACCATATGACAGTGTATCTACACCCAGTTCCTTGTCTGTCTGCCCCCAGAAGACAAGGACCGTTGTGAGGACAAGAGCACCTCTAGCCCCCGAGCAGTGTGCTCACCATGAGGCAGGCACTCAGAGAATCAGTAAGCACACTCTGTAGTGAGGAGGGTCCTAAGAGCCAAGGAGCTCCAGGCTGAGAAACACCTGCAGGAAACTTTCTCCACATCGACTGGTGGCGGCGGCGGTGGTTACACAGGGAGCACACCTGTCACTATTTACTGTCAAGCACACTTACAAATGGGTGCCCTCAACTGCATGCCAGTTATACCACAATGAAGCTGACTTTTTAAAAAGCACCACGCCATCTACAGGAAAAGTCCTATGTAAATGGAAGGATACACCTTTAGGGGATAAACACCAGAAGAAAAAGCTATGCACTGCTTACATAACTAAGCAGGAAAAGCTTGCTTTCTTCTCCGGGCTACCTGACTGAAAACTACTCACGCAATCTCCTGGCGTTTTCATCCCCGAATGATACTTGAGCATTGTGGCCTCTGCTCCTCGATAATTCTCTCTTTCTCACCCTTTCACAGGTCCTAACTCTCACTTTTTATAAGACAATAGAGTGTGAGTATCATTAAAAAACTAAGGCTGCCATAAAGACGGCAATTTGTGAACAGCCACTCAGTTCTCCTACCTTTTAAGACAGGAACAATATGATTCTGCCAAGTCTGACTTTCACATCTGTAATCATGCTATTCTTAAACTGAGATGCCAGAAATAAATAAATAAACAAATTAACTAACTAACTAATTAATTAATTCATGCACGGCCAATGTTATCGCAATGCTTCTCTCTCTCATGGAATTCTTTATTTTTGAAAAAATTAGTTTAAATGGACTATGTTTGGGAACAAAAAGTCAAATTTTAACCACCTCGTTTCCAATACTTCCACAGGATCATATAATGATCATGTAAAAAGAATCCTATTATTAATATTCTGAGAGGAGGGGACTGCTTAGTGAGAAAGTCTGCACCGAGTTGTAGTAACTAGAAGCAATGACAAGAAATTTTGTCTCTTCCGGCATTGAAATAGGAGAGCCCTTTCACCTTCTGTTGATGGGTGCAAGTGTGCCGGCGTGAAGAACAGTGCAATACACTAGCAGACCACGGAGGTATGCACTAAGTAACAAAGTGTTAAGCAATTCCTTTATCAACTTTGGAAATCAAGTGACACAAATAAGATACTTTGACTTGAGCTGGAATAAATCATTCAAATATTGACTTTAATAAGATAATAAGACATTTCAAGTCTCAGTGCTCCAAGTGGAATGCTTGGATCAAGGGAGTTCTGAGTCAGGAAGTTCATAAAGAAGGAAAATCTAGGTGCAAATATGACAAAGTAGATCCCAAAAGTGAAACCAAGCCCCCTCAGGGAACTAATTATTCCCAGCATTCTGTAGGCAGTCCCAAGGTGAGTTATTACACTAACGTCTGCCTTCAGGGAAGCTAAGACTCAAAACCAAATTTGGTTAACTTTCCCCTAAGGGCAGGGCGACTAGCTCTTTCTACTAGTTATCCCTACATCATTCTAAGCAACATCTCATACAATGATCATGTTTCAGTCAACCTTATTAACAAGGATGAAACTATAGGACAGACATTTCTTAGGCAGACTTCCCACTGATGACTCTCCTAAGAGCGAATTCTGAGCATCTCCATTATATGTCATGACCACCATTCCTAACCGCAATTGGCAATGAGACTAAGCAAATCAGTGTACTAGACTTACTGTGCACTAGACTCCTCCCTAAATAAAATTATTTTGAAAAATGAGAGACCTTCTAAAAATACGAGTTACTCTTGTCCAATTGTCATGTTCACCCAGACAGAAAGTTATCAATTCTTCCAAGACAGAAACCACCTTCCTGGTAACAGTAGCAAGGTGGCGACCAGCGGACTCACCGTGGAGGGCCTCTGCACCATGTTCTCTAGCCTGGTATGACTAAACTCCAGGCTGATGACATTATAGAGCTTCTCCCGCTCATCCTCTGGAGTCTCATAGTAGCGGGTCCACTGGGCCATGGTCATTTCGATGCCTTTCTGTGTGTTCACATCCATGACATCTACCATGCGGCGACTCCCTGCAAGGAAAAGACACAGTGATCTCTCCTCTGAGCCACCAATATCCTGGCATAGATGAACAACATGAAGCATGGCGGAAGGGAACCCATGAGCCTTTCTTACTAAGTGTATTCAGTAGCAGGCAAGAGGGCGGTTCCCACTCTCAAGATGTAAAATCAACCAAAAATCAAATCACAGAGAATGAGCAATGTTCAAACTAACAATTACTCCCATTGGCATATTTACTATATGAGGGAGCTTCAAAAAGCTCGTGGGGAAAAAATCCTATCATCTTTTCTTTTTTAAAAATCATTTTATTGGGGGCTAAATTCTATCATCTTTGCATTCTATTTTCCCCCTGAACTTTGTGAAGCCTCTTCATGTGGCCAAGTATGACTTTTGCATTCAGAACTGATTTGATCCTAACACATTTACATACTAAATAGGAATCCTGCTTTCACTGAGGAAAAGCATGCAGTTTGCAGTTAAGGAGCAGGACTTAAGCTAGACAACTGGACTCAATTCTCTTATCTACATCGGACTGAACATCCACGCGTCTGATCTTTGATTCATGTTGTGGATGGACTTTTATGCCACTGACTTGTACATTTTATAATGGTGGTGGTGATAACTTTTGAGCTGTTTAATCCTCTACAGCAGCAGTTCTCAAGCTGTGGGTCAAGACCCCTTCGGGGTCGAACGACCCTTTCACGGGGGTTGCCCGAATCATAACAGTAGCAAAATTACAGTTATGAAATAACAATGAAAATAATTTTATGGTTGGGGGTCACCACAACATGAGGAACTGTATTAACGGGTCGCGGCATGTGGAAGGTTGAGAACCACTGCTCTACAGTAATTTTTACAATGGAATTTGTTCCTTTTAGAATGTAGAGCAGCAAAAAAAAAGAAAAGAATGTAGAGCAGAGTGAGCCAAAGCTGTACTCATCCCAATGCCACCACATTAGCAGAGTCCGTGTGCCACAGCACTTGAGAGCCAGAGTGATAGCTAACTTCCACTGAGCACTTAGTGTACCTCACACACGACTCTGAGGACTTTCCTTTTCCATCATGTTTTAAGGGGGGAGGGCTGGAATTTGAACCCACACAGTTTTGTTCCAGAGCTCACACTCTCACTGGCTCTGTCCCATGACATAAAATGCATAAGACAAAATCATCACTTTTTTTTTTTAATATTACATTCCTTCTGGGACAAAAACAACTACACTGGAGATGAACATTCAAGTCAGGTTTAAAAGAAGACTAGATTACCACGGGTACATGTGGTGATAATAGATTATGGTAATCATCAATATTTTGTTTGTCACATTTTAACAATCATTAATTGTCCAAAAAAATTAATCCAGAAAAACTCAGGTTTCAAAAAACTTAGGACTTTCTAGTTCATATTTAGTTAATTACAATCACTATTTGATACGCCTACTGGTCTATTGGAAAATAAAGGTTGCAAATGGCTTCTAAAGATCAGGGTAGTGAATGAATTACTGAGGAAACAAAATGGTAATGAAGTGGGAAAACCCTGAAAGATTCATAACTGACTGAGTCTTTGTATTGTACAGATTAGAATTTGGATGCTCTAAGTCTGTAACGGGTTCCAGGGACTGACATTTTTCAGCAGCAGCACCTATTCTGAAGCAAGCCCTCTGTACAACACTTTGGGAAACCCAGCATTGCCAGAAGGCCTGATGGCCAAGAGAGAAAAGGTGGGTCAGCCATTAACCATGGGTCCCGGGATGGTCCTGACCTACAGGGCCTCTTCGGAAAGAAGTCAAGACAGGGACAGGGAAGCACTTCTAAGAGTCCTGCCTCTTGATGAGTGGAAATGAATTCTGCTGATTATTCCACAAATTTATTGAGCACTTATTACTTCAGGGCCTGTGCTAGGATACAGAGACAGGCAGATGACTGGAATCTCACACAGAAACAGTGAGGGTTAGAGAAATTTCCTCTATCTGGGCTAGCGACAACTTTAAGATCTCTTATGAAGAGACTAGTCTCAAACTGAGTAGAAAGGGCCCTCAAGTGGCCAAGAGATGTTACTACAACATTTCATTTCCAAAGCCAAGGGAAGGGGGCACTGGCACTGGAGCTTCAGGGTAGGCAACAAAACATACGTAGCCAAGTTTTAAGGCTAGGAGGAAAAAGCCAGAAACCTCTTTCGTTTCAAGCCCTGCTGGAAACATTTCTCCAAGACATGGTTGTGCTTTACAGCCTTACTGTGTATAGCAGGGGGACCACCCTAGCTAATGGTCCAGGGATGTCTTAGGCCATACTCATGATCTGTAGAAACCCCAGCTGAGCTCCTACTGGTCCTAGAACATTTTCTCCTTTGTCCTTGGATGCTATCAAGTCCATTCCAGCTCACAGCAGAGTAGAACTGCCCCACAGGGGATTCAAGGCGGTGACCTTCCCCAAACAGTTCACTGGGCCTGTCTTCCCTGGTATCTCTGGGTGCGTTTGAACTGCCAACCTCTCAGCTAGCAGTCCAGTATGTGACCACTGGGGCCATACGGGGACGCCCAGATTTAATGGTTCCAGTGTCTTTTATTTTCCTAAACTTGTATTTGCATTTCCCTAAATGCACTGTTCTATTTGAACTTCATAAAACACATCTTTGTTTAAGTAAAGCGTCAAGTTAACCACTCACTAATTAAGAGGACCGTCAAATTAGACACTTCAAAGCTTACAAAGTTGCAAGCCTTGGCCAAGTTACCAAATGTAACACTGGTGAGAATTTCCTGGAAATTTCTGTATTAGTTTTAGAAAACGGAGGGGAACCACATATACAATGAAGCTTAATTCTGAGATACAATACAGATTCCTCAGCCCCTTTTCTGAATAGGTTGCCCTGGAAGGCAAGCCCTTCAAAGTAGGGAAGGAAGGAGGGCAGGAGAAAATGATAAATGCCAGCTGGCAGCGGAGGTTCAAATGTTCTGAGGCTATTAAGTACTCTACTTACTAGGGGTAACACTTTTGGAATCCCCTTTGAGAAAATCCTTGGTTGCTAACAAAATAGTAGTTTCTAATCAAGTGTACCTTGCAATGTGCCTCAGCCTTCAGTCTCAGCCCCTGCCTCCAAGACACACAGACCACGGCAGCCTGATACTTACCCACGCACATTTTCACATCGTTCACAGTGAAGTCTGGATCTGGCATCCTGTGAGACAAAGACCAGTGAGGATAAATGGAAAGGGCCATTTCTCAAGTCACAGAGAGGTTTTTTCCCCCTTTTCTTAAAGCGTGGAGAAATTCCCATCAGACACACTGATCACATTTAAAATAGAGGTATATTTTAAATTAAAAGTAACCATATACAGTGAACCCTCGCCACTTCGCGCTTCAACTTCCGCAGCTTCACTCTATCGCGGTTTTTGCGTAACAGCACCCACTGCCTACACCCACTCCTTCAGAGGAAAAAGACGGCCACCCACCTGTAGAGTACATCCCTTAAGTCATTTCATAGGCTATTGATTACAGTATTTGTAAGAACTATGTATAATAATACTGTATGTGAAATATGTAATACTGTAAACTAGATGCCATAAATAATATAATAAATAATAATTGTAACGTCCAAAATGTTTTACTGTATTTTCCCTTTTTCGTTTAACAAATTGGGTAATACGAGTGTAATGGTGACTAAAGGGTGTTTTTTCATGTCCTCTATGCTCTAACTACGAAAATATTTTATTTACAAATAAGGAATCTTACTTCGCGGAATTTCATTTATCACAGTAGGGTCTAGAACCGATTAGCCGCGATAAACGAGGGTTCACTGTACCACACAATGTGATCAGTGGTAGATTTCAAGTGGTAGATTTTTTTTTCCGACACCCCCCCCTTCATTCATTTTATTGGGGGCTCTTACAGCTCTTAAAAGTTCCATACAAAAAAAAAAAAAAAAAAAGATTCCATACATCAATTGTACCAAGCATATTTGTACATATGTTGCCATCATCATTTCCAAAGCTTTAAAAAAAATCATTTTATTAGGGGCTCATATAATTCTTATCACAATCCATACATGTATCAATTGTGTAAAGCACATTTGTACATTCATTGCCCTCATCATTCTCAAAACATTTGCTCTCCACATAAGGCCCTGGCATCAGCTCATTTTCCCCCTTCCAAAACATTTTCTTTCTACTGGAGTCCTTGGAATAAGCTCCCCCTTTTTCCCCTCCCACCCTCATGAATTCTTGGATCAATTATATACTGTTATTATTATTTCATATCTTACACTGTCCGTTGTCTCCCTTTACCTACACTTCTGCTATTCATCCCCTTTGGGAGGGGGCTATATATCCAACCTTTTGATGGGTTCCCCTTTTCTCCCCCTTCCCGCTCCCCGCCATCCCCCCACCTTCATGATATTGCTACTCCCACTACTGTACCTGAGGGGTTTAATCTGTCCTGAAGTTCATGTGCTGAGAGATCTTATGTGTAACCAATGTGTGTGGTCTCTGGTCTAGCCAGATTTGTAAGGTAAAAATGGGTCATGGTAGTGGGGGGGAAGGAAGCATTCAGGAACTAGAGGAATGATGTGTTTCACCAGTGCTACACTGCACCTTGGTTGAATCCATCCCTTCCTAATAACCCTTCTGTGGGGGAATATCCAATTGTCTACGGATGGACTTTGGGTCTCCATTCCAACCCCCCTCATTTACATCGATATAGTTGTTTTGGATCTTTTGATACCTGATCTTATCAACCCCTTATGGTCACACAGGCTGGAGTGCTTCTTCCATGTGGGCTTATTTGCTTCCCTACTAGTTGGCTGCTTGTTTAACTTTCAAGCCTTTAAGACTCCAGACACTATATCTTTTGATAACCAGACACCATCACATCTTCATCACATTTGCTTATGCACCCATTTGACTTCAGTTATTGTGTTGGGAAGGTGAGTATCAAAGAGTGCCGGGTTATTAGAACAAAGTGTTCTTACGTAAAGTCTTGAGTAGAGAGGCCCAAAGTCTGTCTGCTATTGTAATACTTAACATATAAATATATGTACATTGGCCTCTATCCTTTTCATTATAAATTAATATATTTACATATATACATGCCTATAGCTATAGCTCTATAAATATATTTTGCCTCCTACTTCTTTCCTCTATTTCCTTTCACCTTCCTCCTATCCCACTATCATGCTCACCCTCCATTTGGCTCTCAAATTTGTTTTCTTTTTAGCTCATCAATACTTTCTCATTTCGTTTAGACTCCTAGTGAGCCTACGGGACAAAGTAGAACTGCCCATGGGGTTTCTCAGGCTGTCATTGTTAGGGGAGTAGATCGCTACATCTCTTTCCTGGGAGTAGCTGGTGGGTTTGAACTGCTGACCATTTTGTTAGCAACCCAGCACTAATCTTTGCACCACTGGGGTTCCCTCCTATAAAGATAAACATTAATTCTTTGTTTACCAATAGAAGAAAAACACATTCTTAAAACTAGATGGGAAACCATTTTCAATTCTCAACTGCCACTGTCTACAGCCCTGATTACAACACAGCCATTCCCAACCACATCCACCCAGGCTGGGGACACTTACTTGATTCCAAGGCCATCGGAGTCCTTGAAAATCAGAGGGTCTCTCAAGCCACCACGCTGGATGTACTCTACATTGAAATCTGTCACCACAGGAAAACACCGGTTAGAAAAGCTGGAGAAGCACTACGAGGACCTGCGTAATGAGGTAGAGGTGCTGCTGGTTGCCTTGGGCACACGGTTATGTCAGACAATAAATGCTTGTTACTAAGAAACATCTCTTAGGTTACAGCAAAGTGAACAGAGAAGTGGGGCTTGAGGGGCCAATGTGCTAGGTCTAGGTCTGCACATCCAGAGATGCATGGGCTGAGAATCAAGCCCACGTCTATACTGCATGAAAGGCAAGAACACTACCATGGAAGCCCCATTGCCTCCAAATGCTGCTGTCTAGTCTAATGAAAGCTTACTTCTAAAACAGCAGAGAATGACTTGCAGCGGGGAGGCCGGGGGGCCAAGAACAAGGAAAAATAAAGGTAAGAGCATCAACAGGCCACATCATAGCTGCAGAGACACTGCACCCTCAGGTTCCAGGGTCTCCTGTTTGTTGCTGAGTCGATTCTGACTTCTAGCGATCCTACGGGGCAGAACAGAACTGCTCTCTGGGTTTCCTAAGTCGCATGCCATCTTTATGGGAGGGGAGAGGAGATCGCCCAGTCGTTCTCCTATACACTGGCCGGTGAATTCCAACCACCAACTCTTCCGTTACAGCCAAGCATTCAACCACTGTACCCCAGGCCTCCTTCCCAGATTTTCCTTGGTCCCAATCAGGATGCTACAGATCTGAACCAAGGTGATACTGACCTTTTCCCTCCATAAAAGTAACAAAATTGGCATTGTATTTGTTGGTGTGGAGCTTCTCTTCCAAGTCAAAGGTTCTCTTCCCCTCAATCTCATCATCGGAAATGCCATCGTCTTCATAGCGCCGCCGCATGGTGCCGCGCTGGGGAGAGAAGGGGTGGTGAGGCTGAGACCATGGGCTTTCCCATTCCTGTCCAAAAGGACTCCCAGTTTCCAACCAAAGTGCTACTTCTAACTTCAGTTGTTAAGGCAAACCTCCATTTTCCTTGTTTTACTGATATTTTCCTTCTCTGGTCAAGATCTAACAAAACTTTTGTGAACCACTGAGTTAGTTTCTTGTTTATGAATTTTACCTGTGCTCTTTGAGCCCAGCGATAAAAATTTACAACATAACTATTTAATCTATCAGGCTGGGAAAAATGACTTTACGGATACCTCACACTGGGATAAAAATATCATGTTTATAGGACAATGCTCTGATGAGCAGCCAGATCAGCTTTCTAAACAACGTTCAAGAATACACCAGAACATTCGAATCACTGGACCCCAAACTCTTTTACCTTGGCTACAGGAAGAAAGGTAATCTCAATAGTATTCCAAACAGTATGCTGTCAATATTTGGCTTTAAAGAAAACATGTCTTCCCAAAGAAATCCACAAGTGCCCAACAAGCATGTGAAGATTCTCAACATAACTCACTGTTATTGTAAGTTACCTTAACCATCAAGTCAATTCCAACCCACGGCAACCCCACAAGCACAGAGCCGAAATGCTCCACGGGGTTTTCAAGTCAGGTGGTACAAAGATTCAGTGCTTGGCTATTAATGAAAAGGTTGTCACTTCAAACCCACTAGCAGCTCCTCCACAGGGAAAAAGACCTGGCAACGTGCCCACCTTAAGCCTAGGAAACCTCTGGAGCAGTTTTACTTACTCTATAGGGTCACTGATTTTGATCCTAACAACTGCAACAATAGTTACTGGGAGTTGATAAACCCACTGCCATAAACCCCAAACGCAAATCAAAACCACAGTGAGACACTGCTTCACCCCTATGAGGCTGGCAAAAATACAAATTCAGGTGATTTTGTTACTGAGGATGTGGAGAAACAGGACCCCTTCAACATTCCACTTGAGGACTTAAAATGGTGCAGCCCCTTGGGAAAGCAATCAGGCAGTTCTGAAAATGTTAAGGAGAGTTTTAAACAACCAGTAATTCCACTCCTAGGTCTACAAGTAGACCCAGGGTTATGAACAGCATTCATTCTTAAGTGTTTCTTTAAGTTGAATACGTGGAACAGTGGGAATAGGGCACCTGGTTCTCATTGAGCCTCAATGCAAGGAAAGCCTAGTCAATGATTGAAAAGCTGCACATGCAATGAAGGTGATGGTGATGAAGAATTTGTTGCAAGAAGGGATGGGTTCAATCACTTCAAAGTGAGGGCAAGCTGATATCACATTAAAGGGTCCATACCAAGTATATACCCAAAAGATCTGAAAAGATGTCTCTTCACAAAGACTTGTCCAGATATTCGTAACAGCATGATTCCCAATGTGAAAGGTGGGAAAAAACCAAATGCCCACCAACGAATGGACCAATAATATGTGGCAGAGATCCACACGATGTACCAGTGCATGGAGGAACCTTGAAAACATTCAACTAAATAAAGAAGGCAGATCCGACAGGTCACCATGGTGTATGATCCCATGATATCAAATGCCCACAACAGGCAAATCCATACAGAGGGAATGGCTTGGTGGTTTCTCGAAGCTGAGGGGAGGAGCGAGAGACCAGAGAGAGGGGGTTGGAAATGACAGCTAATAATATAGGTTTCTAATACAGGCTTTCTTTCTGATGAAAGAAAATGTTCTAGAACTAGACAGTACTGTTGCTTGTAAAACTGAAAATACAAAAAACCATTAAGCTATATACTTTAAATGAGTGGATTTTATGGTATATGAAATATATCTCAATAAACTATGGTTTCAAAATGTTGTTTATGTTGTCATTTTATCTTCTAAATTATTTTACTTTGGTCAGTTTTAAAACAGCTGACATTTCTTGGGAAGCAGGCAGCAGGAAATGAAGAGGCAAAGGCCTTCCTCCACAGCTGACAGAGAGAGAACACACTGCAACCTGAATGCATACTTCTAGTCTCCGAACTGTGAGAAAATATGTTTTTGGTTTTTTTTTAATAATCATTTTATTAGGGGCTCATACATACATCATTTGTGTCCAGCACATTAGTACATATGTTGACTTCATCATTCTCACAACACCTGCTTTCCACTTGAGCCCTTGGTGTCAGCTCCTCATTTTTTCCCCTTCCCTCCCCGCTTCCCCCTGAACCCTTGATAATTTATAAATTATTATTATTTTATCACATCTAAAAGTCTGTTTCTTAAAGCCATCCCCTTGTGGTATCTGTGCTATAGCAGCACTAGATGACTAAAGCAGTGCCAGGCAAAGAAACCCTACCCTAGAGGGTGTGCTAAGAACCACCCCAACCAAACAAGACCCACTTGCCATCAAGTTGATCCCAACGCACAGTGATCCTAAAGGACAGAGTAAAACAGCGCCATAGGGTTTTTTAGCACACAGGCTCATGTTTCGCCCAAGCGGTGGATTCGAACCACTGACCTTGCAGTTAGCGGTCCAGTGCTAACCCACTATACCCCCAGGACTCCTTAATAACACCCAAGCCTGAAACTTAAAGCTAGGTACCGATAATTTACAACTGATTATAGAGCGCCTCAATTGCCGTAAATACTTACGACAATAAGGTGGTAATGAAGAAAGGTCTCTGGGCCAGGGTATGGGGAGAAACAAAGACATAGAAAATTAAAATGAGAGGAAAGAGATTTGACCGTTTCATCCCAGGAAAGGGAGGTGCAGTTCCAGGCAGGAGCCCTAAGGAGTGATTGCTGCTAACTTTTCCATATTTGGCAGAGTCCGGGGCCACTCTTCCACCTAGAACCTTTGCTGTTGTAGCTCACAGTGGCAGGACTAGAATATGTGGGTACTTCAAAAAGGCTATGGAAACACTGTTACCATTCGATTCCATTTTTCCACGAACTTTTTTAGGACTCCATTTTTACTGATAAAGCCATCATTGCTCAAAATATTTTTAGATTTTTTTTTTTTTAGGGGAGGGAGGAGGAAATAGTTTTTCACTGACAACTTCTTAGAGAAGTGTTTTTTTTAAAACAGGTATCACCCAACTCTCCCCGTCACCTTATTTTGTACATATCTCTGAAGAGAATGCCAAAAGTTCCAAATACTTCACAAAGTCAAAGTAATAATGTTAGAGGAGTATGTTGTTGCTAGGTGTCATGGAGTCAGTTCTGACCCATCGCAACCTTATGCACAACAGAACGAAACACTGCCTGGTCCTCCACCATCCTCACAATTGTTCCTCTGCCTGAGCCACTGTTGCAGAAAGAGGATAGTCTCCCACAATAATCAATTTTTAGAAAGCAGTCCTTTGCCATGTACATTCTAATGTTTGTTTTCAAACCCCATCCTGTTCCTAGATCTAGCACTAAGGACCTTCTTCAGCAGGAGAAAATGAACACCCTGATTCCCTAAAACGGCAGCAACTGGAGCCACAACAGTAAAGCACTTGGCAGCTATACATACATACAGTTCCACGGAGAGACAAAGACCAGGTTACTTGTTGGCCTGCTAGGCCGCCAGGTCAGGAGTTCACAATCAGCAGCTGCTCCGAAGAAGAAAGATGCAGCTTTCTGCCCATAGAGAGTCTCTAAAAGTGGGTGAAGGGAGACGTTGGACAGTGTAAGATATGACAAAATCATAATTTATAAATTATCAAGGGTTCATGAGGGAGGGGGAGGAGGGAGGGGGGTAAATGAGGAGGTGATGCCAAAGGCTCAAGTGGAGAGCAAATGTTTTGAGAATGATGAGGGCAACGAATGTACAAATGTGCTTTACACAATTGATGTATGAATGGATTGTTATACGAGTTGTATGAGCCCCCAATAAAGTGAGTAAAAAAAAAAAGAGTCTCTAAATCTAAAGAGACAGTTACTGGTTCCTTGGGGGTATGAGACAGGGGAGGTCGGGGTGGGGAGAGAACAGAGAGCTAATAACGAAGAGTACATGAATGAAGAAAATGTTCTAAAACCAATAGTGGTGATGACTGTACAACTCTTCTTGATGTGACGGAACTACTTAACTGTAGGATATGTAAATTATATGCCAATAAAACTGTTGGGGGGAGGGGTAAGAGTTACAGTCTCAGAAATGCAAAGGTGGTTCTACTCTGTCCTACAGGGTTGTGATGAGTTGGAATTGACTGGATGGCGGTGAGACGTCTACAGGGAAGGCTTCTGCAATGCCTACTTCCTAAAGACAATGAAGCTGGTTTTTTCTTGGTTACAATTAGGAGTTGTTTTGTTACAATTAGGAATTCAGAGATAATGGGAAAATTACTGTACCCATTTGAATACTGTCAGGAGTTGGGTTGAAACCCTGATGTAAGTAAACAGCTACAGCTTATCTCCAAAGTGCTTACAAACATGCTCAATTCTCCTAACATTGCAGAGCAGCAGCAGTCACACTGCCTCTGTTACAGGGAAACCTAGAAGACAAGGCTCTGTTCACAGGAGGGAGAACAGCCACCAAGCTCTCTCATCCACCAACATGGCCAAAGAACACAAATTGGTTGCTCGGCTTATTAACGGTGCTTTCACTCCAGGAAAGGCAGTTACTGACCTCTCTCGGCCTCTGGGCCTCACCTGGCCCAGTGTCATAGTGCGAAGCAGGCACAAACCCAGAACTGAAATCCACTCCAACCACCGTTTTCTCAAAGGCAATTTGCACTCTTCATTGGTCGCCAGAGCATATTGTACTGGAATTGCAGGCCCATATAACCACTAACATACATCTAACTTCTAAATTTTCCATAACGAGTAAATTACTGTTGTTAGCTGCTGTCAGGCCAATTCCAGATTTGCAGGAACCATGTACAACAGAACAAAATGCCACCTGTTTTGTCTATTCCCCAAGATCAGTCAGGAATTGAATCATTGTGATGCACAGGGTTTTGCCACTTGCAAGTTTTCAGGAGTAGGTTGCCAGGTCTTTCTTTCTATCCATCAAGTCTCCCCTTGCAGGCAGGTACTA